TTTGGTTCCAATGCTGGCCCCTGCCTTTCTCGGGGCTCCCAGGTGTACTCGCCCCTTCTACGGGCGTTATCCGCTCTGTCCCGCGCCCCTGGCGCTATTGCCCCCACTGTGGGCTCTGTCCCGCGCCCCTGGCGCTATTGCCCCCACTGTGGGCTCTGTCCCACGCCAAACCGCACCCGGACTCAGGTGGCACACAGCTGTGCCTGGCCCCCTGACCCTTCTCGGGGTCCTTAGGCCACATGCCTCTCGCGTTCTTGCCCTCGCTGGGGCCTGTCCCCGCGCTACTTGCGCCCGTGGCTCTCTCCGAGCCTGTCCCTGCGCTACTTGCGCCCGTGGCTCTCTCCGAGCCTGTCCCCACGCTACTCGCGCCCGTGGCTCTCTCCGAGCCTGTCCCCGCGCTACTCGCGCCCGTGGCTCTCTCCGAGCCTATACGCCAGCCCTGTCTCGGGCTTTCACCGGCACTGGGGCTCAGGTGGCACGCAGCCGTGCCTGGCCCCCTGACCCTTCTCGGGGTCCTGTGCCCTCACTGGGCTGAGTCCTGCCCTCTCAGGCTGGGGTCTCAACCCCACACCCCGCACCACACCGGTGCCAAGCCGCTGTGCCTTCAGGCACTGCTCTGTGCTCCAAACAGGGCACCCAGGAACCCCCAGACTACTGGGGAGCTCCCGTGAGGCCTCCTCACACCCCTACAGCCTCACCCGGTCCTCCGGTCGATATACACAACAGAACCATAAGCCCACCCGGCTGTAACAAAACAATAAGCCCACCGGCCACAACAAAACAATCAGCCTACCAGCTATAACATAACAATCAGCCTACCGGCTATCACATAAAATCCAGGCCCTCCTGGCTCTCTGGCCAAAGCCTCCCGGTCAGGCTTCTCTCCACCTTCACCATAATACAGCCCTCTGGGTGCTCAAGCTGCACTGCTCGGCTTAGCTCTCCTGCAGAGCTCCTACACCTCAGGCTGCCAGAAGGAAACTGCTAGCCAGGCTCCGTAAGGGCCCAGCCCTGCCCCCTTCTGGTCACCTGACCAACCTGGTTACTCCAGCAACCCGCACCTGAGCTGACCTGGCAATTAGCAGAGGCCCTAATCCCTACTTAGGCACGGGGCACCTGAGTGCCCCCGTGACACCAGGATACAAACCCTAGTCAAATGTCCTGCTGTCAGAAATACAGTTGGAAGAGAAGCTGAAAATAATTTGGTTAGAAAAAGGACCTGAGCGGATGCTGTACATTAACCTCTCCGTTAAGATCCCTAGTAGTAATCAGATCTATATCATTGGTATGTAATGCCCTGCTTTACCATGTTTCCAGTTGTTTATAGATACATAACTAATGAAAGAGATGCGTAACTAGTGAAAAATTATGTCTGTATCTTATCAAGGATTTTGGTTACCAGATTTATTTGTTGTTAGAGACTTAGGATGGCTTCCAGTAAAAACAGATACATTCTAAAAACAGATATAAGTTCCTCATTGTAATGTATTCATTGCGTCCTTGACTAAAATGCATAAACCTCATTGAAGCTGTCACTCATTGGAAGGACTGCTTCTGGGGTAAGTAATAGGTTTGGTTTTCTGTAGTTAATCTGTTTACCTTTAAACCTGGATGGTAAAAAAAAAAAAAAAAATTACCCATTTAAGTAAATTTTTTAATACTAGTTATCTGGTGAATTTTTGGGTCAAGGACTGTCTTTCAATAATCACCTGGGGGTACTAAACATTAAAAGTGTGTCTGCAATAATGTCTAGGTTATAAACTACCGAGTTCACACAAACAGAATGCTGTTGCATTGTGTTATTTCCATGGCGACTGTCAGTAGAAACAAACATTGGGAAGATTCAGAGTGACTGTATCTTAAAACTTAGTCACTGGACAAGACTCGTTTATATGTAAAAAGAATGGCTCGTACTGTAGTAGATCAAGTTCTGTCTTAATATAGACTTCTTTAATTGTTCGGTAATCCATTTATACTGCACAGGACCTCCTTTAAGGACAAACAGGCATGAGGGCGTTTGCCTTTTTGGCTAACTGCAATAGGACTAGATATGTGTTTGGAAATAAATCTGCTACACTGTAATTGTGATGCCAAATTTGTGCTGTATTGTAAAACATATAAATGCCAGTTTCCTGAGCTGTTCTCCAGTGTGAGAAAGAAAGCTGTAGTCCCTACTGACAGTGGTCTGAAGAAAGCTCTAGGCCCTACTGTCAACAATGTTACCCCTCTCAAATTGTGCACTGGCAAAACCATTACAGTTAGAAGCAAGCAGATGTCTCGTTGGGCTGAACACTACTCAGAGCTATACTCACTGGAAAGAAACATCACCAGTGAATCACTGGACTAAATACCAGCTCTACAGGTCATGCTAGAGTTAGACATGGAGCCCACTGTAGAAGAGCTAAGCAAGGCCATTGATTCATTACCAAGTGGCAAAGCTCCTAGAAAAGATGGCATCCCAGCGGAAATTCTCCAGTGCGGGAAAAAAAACATACTATCATATCTTCATCAGTTGCTACTCAAATGCTGGAAAGAGGATGAGGTACCACAAGACATGCGTGAACCAAATATCATCACCTTGTATAAAAATTAAGGAGATAAGGGTGACTGCAGCAACAACAGAGGTATCTCACTACTAAGTATAGCAGGAGAAGCTTTCTCAAGCGTCATCTTGGTGTGCCTAACAACAGCTGGCGAGTTGTGTCTACCCTAAATCTCTGTGTAGATTCAGGGCCAGAACATGAACCGTAGACATGATATTTTTTCTTGCATCAACTTGAAGTGCAGAGAGGAATACTGACCATTGTACATCACCTTCATGGATCTAACCAAAGCATCTGACACCGTCAGCAGAGCAGCCCTATTTGCAGTCCTAGAAAAGATAAGATGCCCACCAATCCTGTTAAGTCTTATTCCTTCCATGACAACTTGAAAGCAACATGAAAGCACATTCCTTCCACAACAACATGAAAACAACTGTTCAGTTTGATGGGTTTGCTTCGGACAGCTTCAAGATAAAAAGTGGAGTGAAGCGAGGTTGTGTTCTTGCCCCTACACTCTTTGAAAACTTCTTCTCGGTACTCCTGAACTGCGTGTTTAAAGATATGGAAGGCAGACTGTACCTTCACAAGATCAGATGGGAAACTTTTCAACCTGTTATGACTCCAGGCAAAGACTAAAGTTAGAAAGGTGCTTATCAGAGGGTAAAGCCATTCCCCTTCCTCTAAAGTTAGAAAGGTGCTTAGTTACCAATGATGCTGCCCTTACAGCCCACAACAAAGACCTACTACAAGAATTCATGGATCTGCTTTGAGGAGCTTGTCAGGCATTTGCTGTCATTATCAGCATAAAGAAAACAGTTGTACTAGGACAGGGAGTTCCACAAGATCCATCAATCACCCTTAATAGGAACCAGCTAGGAGTAGTCCAAAAGTTCAGCTGTCCAGGTTCTACAATAACCACCAACCTCTCACTGGATGAAGAACTTAATGTTCACATTAGAAAGACTGCCACTACCTTCAGCAGACTAACTGAAAGAATATGGAACAACTCAAATCTTACCATCAAGACCAAAATGCTAGTGTACAAGGCTTGCATACTCAGCACTCTCATGTATGGTGGGGAAACATGGACAACTTATGCACATCAAGAGAAAAGGTTAAACATCTTCCACCTGCACTGTTTAAGCTGCATCCTCAGTATCAAATGGCAAGATAAAGTTAACAATGCAGAGGTTCTTCAAAGGGCAAATTTGATAACCCTACTCAGACAGAACCAACTGTGTTGGCTAGGCCATCTGAGCAGATTGCAAGATGGACGCATACCCAAGGACACACTATACAGGGAACTATCAGAGGGAACGAAAGCAACAGGGCACCCGAAGCTTCGCTATAAAGACACATGCAAGCGAGATATGAAGGTATTTGGAATTGATCCCGGCCAATGGGAAACTTTGCCAAGTCATTGGAACGAGTGGCATCATCGTCTCCACCAGGGCATTAATGTCCATGACAGGAATTGGCTCCAACAGCTTGAAGAGAAAAGAGTTGGTAAGAAGCAAGCAGCTCCCAAACCACCCAACCATGACACATACATTTGCAACCACTGCCACAGATCGTGCAAATCTCAAATTGGACTATTCAGTCACATGAGGCACTGCAAACCATCTGCGTCGCAGGCTGCAATATCCACCATCTCTTGCAGACAAAAGGATGCCAATACTAATAATCTCCAGTGTGAAACACTGGGTACAACTTGACAATACTGAACTGTGGTATGAGGAGCTACTCTGCTTCTTCCTTTGTTTCTACCTGATAGAGGCATGTTAAATTTCTTCCTGAACTTTGCAGTACTTCACTGAGCGCAGTAAAAATATTAATCCCACAGATAGCAGCAACTGCTCAGTTCTTTTTTTTAGGAAAACCTGTGAAAGTTTGAATGGTGATACCTTGTCCACCTCACCTATAATATAACAAATATTCCAATTATAACCCTATACTGCGCACTTCTTTAATTTGTGCTTTTGTGTTTCCAAACAGACTTATTGCCACTGGGAAATTCATTTGTTTTAAAGTTTGACTTTCATTTTATACTTGACACAAGACTTTCCTAAACTTTTTATGTGAGTAATGTTACTGAATGTCTTCTGAGATCTGACTGGAGGAATTTTACCTGTGTTTTCAGTGTATAAAGGAATTAAGTTTGCTGCTGCTTAACCAGTCCCTCCTGCTGCCATCCCTGAAATTGCTAGTAGAAAGCAGAGATCAAGATCTTCATGCTGTGGCACTGGAGCAGATAACAGCTGTTGCTAAGGTATGAACTGTTGAATTAAGCATCCTTCATAGTTTCAGGCAATAAATTAGCTCTTTTATCTTCATATAGGAAACTGAGTCTCTTGAGTTACATTATCATTATTAAGATTTTCTAAAGCTATTGTGTCTGCAGCGAGCAATACCATAAGGCTGGTGAGATCATTTGTATTCTCCAGGTGGTAGTTGAAAACTAACAGTATATTCTATAAACTGTCGAGCTACCCCATTGTAATTCACTGTGTTGGAGCAAGAAACTATTGTAGATTTTCATATCCATTTTCACGTTCTAGTTCTTTTTAAAAATTAGTCTCTAATATTCTGTATAAAGTGGCAAATTGATTCTGATAAATTTTGTGTTGTCACTGCTGACATTCCCATAGGTACATTGTGGGATTGTATATTACTCTGACTTTTCCTGAATGGTCAAAAGTTTATCTGATTTTTGGATTCTTCTACAATGTTACATCCATGAGATGTTGGAATAGAGAAACACTGTCTCTGAACATAAACAACTTCCATATTATCTTGCTCTGCGGGCTTTATTTACTGCTGTTACAGGATCTAATTTATACAGGGAGATTTATTTTTAACTTTCCTGAAAATCAGGTCTTTTTTAATCTGATATACATTTCCGTACATAACAAGGGATTTAATTTCCAATCTAAGTGCAAATTTCAGTGTCAGCTAAATTATAGCATTATTACCAACATCCAAAATATCTCTAAATCACAAAGTTCAGTTGATTTCTATTGAGAACATGATGAATTTTATTGTTCAATTTGCGTTAGTCTATAGATAGTTGTGCATACTTTTTTTGTACTTGGATGTTTTTGTGTGTTAACTTAATGTTTACTTATGAATGATTATGTACCTAAGTGTTTGATTCTTCTTGCCTCCCTAAAATAGCATGTGTCTACCATTTATAGAGATAGTAGAGAAGCAATAGTCTCATACAAAGGAAGGATTTCGTCAACGGATCCTGATAAACATAATCCTTGAGATTGATATAGTAGAAGAATCATTGTCATTGAGTCCCAGACTTTTAATATGTTGCATATCACATTGCATATCAAATTGCTAGTTTTGTTCTAACATAAGATTTAGAACCAGAGTAGGATAAAATTCAGAACCATGAATTGTATTAATGAAGAGAGGGATTAATTGCACACCTTATCTTAAATCTAAACTTGGCTCAAAATCAAATTGTGCTTTGAGAGCATCTCTTCAGTCTGTGAATCTGTCTTTCAACTTGTTTAACAGTAGCATTTGTGTACTGGTGAGAATAATATTTTAGCAGGAAAAACCTTGCAGGACCTTCTGCAAAAATTGTTCCAAAAACTTAATCTGCATCCAAAGCAGGTTAAAGAGAGAGTGGGGAGGGGGGAAAAGTAGTGATTTTTTTTTCCCCCCCAAGTCTATATCAAAGGAGGGGGAATGGCTTTACCCTCTGACCATATAACTGCATGGAAGAATTTTATCTCTGTAATGCTTTCCTAACACTTACTGGAAAATCCTATCTATATAACCTCCAATTCTTTCATGGTATTCTGGGGAGATCACTTTGCTGTTTCTGAAAACTTTACAAAAGTATTAAGGGTATAATCCCACCATTTGAGATTATTATTACATTTTAAAGTGAAATCTGCTGTGATCTAACATTCTCTATTGCATTCAGTAATGCTCCAGAAATCCGCTTCACTCTGGGAAAGTATATTCTCTGCTTACATAACTTCAAAAGCAATTGAATTCAGTTTGTTTGGGTTTTTCCTTTTTTATTCTTTTTGGCTGGGGGAGGGGAGCCATGCTTTGGC